ACGAAATAAAACAAAATGAGACAAAAAAAAAAAAAATCACTGAGCAACATGCTAACTGGAAATTCTCATTTTTCTAACTGGAACCCTTCACTGGTTCCAGTCTTTTGTGTCTCTGCTTAAACTGCACAGTTGTGACTCTTCATCAACAGCACAGTGGCATTTCTGACTGGAGGACCCCAGCAGACAGCCGCTCTGGAACTGGAGGAGCCATTTAGTTTTGAGATGTGTAACCTGCTTTATTTGTTGACGGTTTTCACAGAAGAAAATGTATTTTTTATATCCTCACTTTCATTATTTTTTTATTTTGTGGCTGAACTGAAAACAGGTCCTGTGATGTGTAGGCTTTACTGCTTTCTATGCCACAACTGAACATTGCTTGCAATGAATACCTAAGCAGCAGCTCTGTGGTTAAGAACTTATTTGTTGCAAATATGGACGAAAGAACTAAGTGTCACAGGGTGAGAAGCAACCTGGTGAACACTTACAGGGATATGAAAGTATTCACGTTTCTGCTTTTGTTGCATTTCAACACTGAATCTTGGTCAGTTTATTTAAGCTTTTTTTTTTTGACAAGAATGTACAAAAAAGACTCTTTTATATCAAATTGAAATGGATGTCTACAAAGTAATTTCAATTCATTAGAAACATAAAATGTAAAATGAGTGATGCACATGTATTCACCCTCTTTAAAGCAATTCAACTGATTCAACACAAAGGCAGTCAGTTGGTGCTAGAAGTCTCAGAGTTAGTGAAATAGAGGTCATCAGAGTGCAGTGGATGCGTTTTAGTGATTGCAGAACAAAGATATTTGTTTCTTGAAGGTCCGGTCCCTGGTGAATCAGTGCTCTGGATAAAACAGGAAGACAAAAAATCAAGACAAAAAAAAAAACAGGTTTTTGTAAAGCAGGTGATTGACAAAAGGAAATTTCATAGTCACTGACTATCCCTTGGAATACAAGTAAATCCATCATTGACAAATTGAAGGAATACGGCACATGCTGCAGTTTGCCTAGAGCAGGACGTCCTCAAAAACTGAGTGACTGAGCAAGAAAGAGACGAGTGAGGGAGGCCACCAAGACACCTGTGACTCCTCTGAAGGAGGTACCAGCTTCAGCAACTGAGATGGAGAGACTGTTCATACAACTGTTGTCTGTTTTTCACCAGTCTAAGCTTCAAGGGAGACAAAGAGAAAGACTCTGCTGAAAAACACTCACAATAAATAGAGTTCACCAGAAGACCTTTTGGGAGACTGAAGGTAAATGAAAGAAACGTTTTTTGGCCATCAGACTCGACATAGTAGAACATTTGTAAAGTTTTTAACAAAATAACTTAATTAAACTTTTTACGAAAAAGGAAATCTTACTCTTTACAGCATTTTGTATTCACATTTACAGTGTCATCCATCCATCCATTATCTATACACCTCTTAATCCTCACTAGGGTCGCAGGGGGCCTGGAGTCTATCCCAGCTGACTTAGGGTGAAGGCAGGGGGCACCCTGGACAGGTCGCCAGTCTATCACAGGGCTACACTTGGAGACAGACAACCAAGCACACTCACATTCACACCTACGGACAATTTAGAATCATCAATTAACCTCAACATGCTCTTGGACTGTGTGGGAGGAAGCCGGAGAACCCGGAGAGAAGCCAAGAAGTGACCTTCTTGCTGTGAGGCAACAGTGCTAACCACTGGGCCACCTTACAGCCCTATAGCCCTCCCTTAAAGCTTAGTGTCATGCTAATACAATTAAATCATATCAACAGACATTTATTTATTTACAATAAATATGAACATTTTTACATTTATGAAAGTAAAACTTATTTTTAAAATTACTCGTGAAGTTTTCATGCCATGCTAATACAATCAAATCAACATCACATATAACATTTTTTCTAAAGTTTGTCTTACTTTATTATGATTATTATTATTATTATACTTAATATTATTATGAATATTATTATTAATATTTATTTATTTTTATTGCATTAACATTTCTGGTGCTATGATTTTCAATTGTTTTTGTTTGTTTGTTTGTTCTTACAAATTATTTTCCATCCAAGACAGTTCTCTGGTCTCTATGTTGGTGTATATCTTGTGTTTCTAATTTCAGTTTTAACAGATAAAAACAGGCTGAACTGAAAGCTGGACGCTCACTGCCCTTTTATGTGTGAACATCAGTACTAAAGGAAACACGAGAGCAAAAGCTTCAATTCTGTTCTCGTAGTGGGTGAGGGGGGTTCCCTGGAGGGCACAGCGGAAGAAGAAACCACTCCCATATCCTGGGTGCATGACTGCCATATCAAACTAAATTTGGCACAAATCTCCTTCCAGACAAAGTCTAACCAGCATTATTAGACAGATGTTTTACTTTCAACACCATTTGTCGGTTGCAGCCTATGAAAGACGGACATGGGGACATATCTTAGCAACACTTCAATGTGCTGACACCTAACTTTCCAAGTTTCATGATGGCTTCCTGAGGATATGCAAGAAGGTTATTTAAAGACAGTGGTGGCCTGGAATAAGCAAAAACAACTTATAGCACAAGTGCTAGTGTGGTTCCCTAAACAAACGGAGATACTTTGGGAGACTCCATAGATGAGGTATAAAAAATAGACTGTGCTGCCATCTTTGTTTACACACCACTGTTTTTCTTTTTCTTTCTTTCTCTGTTTTTTTTCTTCCTTTTTTTTTTTTTAGAGATAATGAGGCAGTTTTTGACCACTTAGGCATAGTCTGTGCAGATGTCGGCATTCAGTCCGATATTTATGTCTGTGCGGCGACTACTGTACAAGAGTGATAATGCAAATGCTCAGCACTAGTGTGCGCATGTATGGAGTGGAGTCCTCCCAGTGGACGAGAACGCAGTACAACAATAACTGTACATCGATGGTGTCCACAGTTGTCCTTATCCACATCTGCAAGAGAGTGTAATCAAAGTTTATAAGGACATGTCTGTCCATCGAGGAGACCAGGGTCTACATCGAAGAAGAGTGCTTATTGGTAATACTGAGCTCAGAAACCATCAAACGCACTGTGCTTGTATCTGCAATTATTTGAGCCTCCAGATCATGAGGTCGATTTGTATCATCCTGTCTGAAGCAGGACGTGATCTCAAAATTTTGGTCAGTGAACATAAAATCTGCTATCAGTGCTTAAAGCCACACTGGTAACATGATCAGATCAAGTTGCCATGGTGACAGTGCCCTGCTGAACTGCTTAGCCCCTTCAACACTGCTTGCATTTCTATTTGTCAGTTACGAAAAACTCAACACAGCTTCAACTTATGCCATTCATGGCATGTATGCAGCAAGAAAATAAAAAGCACTATCAGGCTGGACCCCACATTACTGGATTAAACGTAGAACCTCATCATAGTCCTTCTGACGACACTGTGGCTGTCATGCTCAGCGCTGTAATTTGACTGACTGATTTGTTGGTCATCTAAACCACTGGTATAAACAGAAGGCTGCTCTGATCTGTTGCCAAGCTGGACATTCTACCATCACACCAGGTATTAGGGGTGTCCCTCATCTTTTACAATTATCATACGTCTGAGCCAGTGCACCGCCGTCAACACTCTGTTCGTCAGCAGGGATTTGTGGTGCACACAGTAAACACAGTACTCTGCTGTGTGGTTTCAGTCTGATCCAGCAGGGCTGCAGTAATACCAAAGAGGTAAAGTTATGCAGTCTCAGTCACAGAACATGCTGTCATGGCACGTTGCTGGCTGACGGTCAGTGTGTAACTGTTCTTCCTCTACACAATAAAAATGAATACGTTTCTTGTAACACAAGTTATATCAGTGATTCATGCTAATGTTATTAGCGCAAGGAAAATAAATGAGGCTCATGAATGTGAAAAATCTGCTTTATTATTCACACAATAGCTAAATAGTCACTACACCACTGCATGTAAAGCAGATCTAAGTGCAATTCAAAAAAATTATCAGCTAAATCATCTTTGTCCAAAAGAAATTAAATAGTTATGAAAGGTAATACTTATATGAAAACAATGCTGAGCACATGTAAATGTGTGCAATTACATATATATAAAACAGTTACTTTACTCTAACTGTTCTTTCTATACTTATACTTGTTTCTGAAGCAGGAAAATTCCTTGGAGTACCATCAATCTACCAGCAACAGTCAGTGTTACTGTGGTCAATATAAACACACAGTATGTTTCATTTCCTGCAATATTTATCTCTCCATCCATCCATTATCTATACACCGCTTAATTCTCTCTAGGGTTGCGGGGGGCTGGAGCCTATCCCAGCCGACTTAGGGTGAAGGCAGGGGACACCCTGGACAGGTCACCAGTCTATCACAGGGCTACACTTAGAGACAGACAACCAAGCACACTCACATTCACACCTACAGACAATTTAGAATCACCAATTAACCTCAGCATGTTTTTGGACAGTGGGAGGAAGCTGGAGAACCTGGAGAGAACCCACGCTGCACGGGGAGAACATGGAGACTCCACGCAGAAAGATCCCAGGTGTCCTAACCGGAACAAACCAGGGATCTTCTTGCTGCGAGGTGATGGTGCTAACCACCGATTGCCCCTTCCTGCAATAAGCAGGTGTGCAATAAACTGAGGCCCCAGAATTTAGACACACATATACAGACACACACACACGCACACAGACACACACAGTTACACTAACACAAAGGTTTTGCACATCGTCTTGTTCTGTACCTGTGATGTTGTTGTAGCAGTGATAATGTCATTACCATATCAGCCAAGCAGATGGCAGTACTGTCTTCAGGACACATTAGTCCAAACTGAACTAAATTTTGCAGCTTTATCCACTTACTTGTAAAGCTACCGTACTTGGCAAGGTTTATAAAACCCTGAGACTAATTTAAAAACACACATACAATTAAAAAAGCACACTGTTCAAGTAATGGAAGTCTGTCAGAGATCTTTGGCCACACTGCCATACTGAGCAAGTCATGGGTAATTAGAACTTTCCTTTATCTATTTTTTTCTTGTTTATTATGTTTACTGTTTTACTTGGTGCTTCTTCCATTTCCTCTCCCTTTATTTGCAAAGGCTGGCTCCTACCAGAGAGAGTTCAGCTAACACATGGATATTATTACAGTTAAAAGAGCTGAGTTTGATACAAAGGATGGTTCAAGTTTATAATGGTTTCATTAGAGAAGCAAAGTCATGCTGTTATGTGTCTGTAGGTTCACACGTTGACTTCACCTTGTCAACAGTTATCTAAACAGCCTGTTCTGGGTGTGAGTGGACAGAAAAACCAACAGATTATGTCTCCAAATCTTTTAGCAGTAATAATCCAGTCCATTTTTATACTGATGCTGGGCAGATTTGGTGTACTCATTTGAAACCTCAGCAGGCCAGCCAGGAGAGATGTTACCACCGAGGTCCCCGGTCAATTTTGAATCCATAAGAGTCTCCCTCATCTGCTGATTCTCCCTTGTTGCTGCCTGCCACACCACCTCCAGCTCCTCCTCTACGTCCCTGGAGGGTTGAGGAAAGTAGAAGAGCAGAGAGTAGACAGAAAACATTCAGTCACTTAATCAGTTATTCCTGTCATATATTTTTGACAAAGTAAGTTGCTGGAGTAACTGTTTCTGGAAACACCTAACAAATAAAGGGGACATAATAACATTCTGACTGATGAACTGAACTTAAGTTAAATTCTTACCAAAGCAATAATTTGAAAAATGAAAATGGAAAAAAATGATTGAATTAATGCTAATACCATGTATGTAGCAGAGAGAAGGGAAGAGGGGTTTAGTTTGAATAACAGATGATATGCAGTATGGTTGTGATCATGGACTCACTATGGGAACAATCAGTGATAACAGGAAGACATATCTATAGACTTTACAATAGACAGACATTGTTGCGTAAAAACTCTGAGACCTCTTCAGCCATCTCTGATGGTTGACTCATTTTTCTTTAAGCCACTCTTGGGGTGTCTGCTGAGTTCTACAGTGAAACTGCTATAACCATCAAGCCCACAGCAGACAATGGTGACATCTGTAGGGACACGCTGGCTGCAGCAACTCACAATGCTCCGTTTTAAATTCCTATCTACATTGTGCAAAACAGCTCCGTCCTTATCCCACTCAGGGCTGCTGGGAATAAAACTGCATGCATCATCTCCTCTCCTGATTATTTCTAAAGTAGTGCTTGAGGCCTTGTATTTTGTGCTTGAAACACAGAAAAGCCCATAGCAGCAACAGACATCAGCATGTGATGGAACAGAAGCCACGCGGAGGCTGTTTTGGTTAAATTTGTGGTAAGCTAATAAAACAGTCAGCTGGTCACAACAGGAGGTACAGATCATGTATATTAACCCGTTGATGGCCAAACAGATGAAAAAAACTTCCATTTAACAATATTGTATTGAGATGACTGAATTAAATGTCCTTCTGTCATGCAACAGACAACTAGTCCTGCAGATTGAAATAATGGAATGGTCAGATTTATTAAGCTTGTAAAGCATGTCTTTGATGCATTTTACTGGAGCCTGATCGATACAGGACTATTGGGGCTAATGCAAATTGTTAGGGAATAAAAAAATCAGACATTGCTACATTGATTAATATTCTTTATATTTATACTTACATCCATGTACAGTATGTTAGAGTTATGCAAAAAGGGAAAATGATGGGGTCATTATTCATTAACTTTTCAGCAATGTATGTCACAAACCAGTTAACTTAACACGAAGACAGTGCTTGACTCTGCACCACTGTCTGCTCAGCTGTGATACATGCTCTGCAGGCTGAGAGTACTGTTAACAATGGAGTCGGAGTGTGCTCTGCATGACAACCAATCTGACAAAATTGTCCTAAGCATCTTTTTCTGCAGTATGTTTAGTAAAAATAAGCTTTCACATTGGTGCATATTGGACAAATTGTACAGACACTGACAGACCTGTGCCAGTCCTGGATCACCAGTATGTTTTCTATTTATGACTGCAGTCTGTCATCTGATTGCATTTTCCAGGTCAGCAGTGAGGCCTCAGTAAAATGAGGGAGGACTACACAAATAATAGGAGGGGACTGAAGTGTGGTGGACCAGGGATTACAAAAAATGTTTCTTTTACTTTGAGGCAAAGAAGGTTAGGGCAAGAGGAGAGGAAAAAGATCACAAGCCTGTGACGCAAGTAGCATTTATTAAGATGTTACAGTTAATAATTATTAACTCCTTGTGATCCAACAAAATTCACTGCTGCAAACCAAGCAAAGCAAATGCTGTTTGGCTGAGTAACTCAGTGGCAGGGGCAGACAATCCACACATCAGCTCTGCTAACAAAGCTGGAAGAAGACACCAACTTTTCATCTCTAAAGATGAAGTTCTCAAAAATGTGCTAAAATTTGCTAAATCAACAGTCTTTGGCTCAGTGGTGGGCTAATAAAATGTTACTGATTGTCTGTGGTTTTCAACAAGAAAGCAATAGTAACTTTATAAACTACATCAGCATGTGTGGCGCAGTGATGGACAGGTGAGCTGTCCAGGACGTACCCTGGCCCTCGCACACCGACAGCTCAGACACACTTTACATTGATTTGCTACATTACTTTGATGGGCCGGCTCAAACCTGGTATACCACTTGATCGGACTGGGTTAAATCTCACAGACAGATCTCATGAGCACACACAAACACTGATTTACTTGTGCCAAGAATGCTCCCCTCTTTAATTACATGTTGTAAATAAAACATAAAGCTTTTAAAATATGTGTGGTAGATGGCTTTAAATCCTCCTGGCCACAACACTTACCTCAATGTAAGCAAGGATCTTTAAGCTAAAAAAACAAGAGCAGTTCCTCATCAAGTTAACTCACCAGAAGCAACCCGTCATGTTGCAGGGTGGGACTTTCTGAATTATTAATCTTCTTCAGACTCTTTTTCTGGTTTGAACATGTATAGTTGAATGAATCCAGTCTTACAAGTTGGCATTGTGTTGCATAGATCGGTTTCACAGTGTTTGAGTAGAGTAATAGGTGAGCTGGTGTGCTGTGAATGCACATTGATGTATATGTAACTTTGATAAACAGAGGTCAGTTTTTAGGGGTTAAATCAATGACTGGAGAGGGACTTTAACCTCATGGTCTGCATTGTTTGTCTATCATAGAGTGTGGGACTTGATTAAAGAAGTGTATGGTTTTATATGTAGTATATGGTCCAAGACGGTCCTCAAATTTTCCCCAGCTGATGTCTTCCCAGTCAGTACTGTGAATGACAATGTGTGACCATGTGTTAAGACGTTACCAAAGCTCCATACTTCCATTCTCCTGTACTGTAGGTCACATGATTATAGTTAAACTTAATTCGCTGAGGAGGAAAGTGAGATACAACGTAGAGCTTCACACAACAGCCAGCAAAGAGGCACTTGAGTTAAGGTTGTTGTGTCAACACACTGTTCCCGCGGCCAGAAATACAGCTTTTACTTCAAAGTCCACCACTAATGGCAACTAATGACAGAATGATTATTTTATTTTTACATGTGTGCATATATATATATATAACTGTTAGAGAGCAGTCTTTTGCAGTGTGTTATAGTTTACATTTCAGAACCAGATGATTCTAAATTATTTTCTTATCCACTATCCACACAACAAATACATATTTGCACACACACTTGAGACAGAGCTGTGTGTGTGTGTGTGTGTGTGTGTGTGTGTGTGTGTAAGTAATGTTCAGTTGGATGTGTCTCAGAACATATGGCATGTAATCAGTTCAAGCACAATTTCATTAACGCAGGTCATGAACTATATCTTCAGATTGATGCTTGTTGGCTGATTTTTGTAAAGTAAAAGTACATGAACTTCAGTTGAAACAGCTAACAACTTACTATTTTACACAAAAAGGCAAAGACGGAGAAATAACGGTACCAGAGAAGAGCACATGATATTGTGTGTGTGTGTGTGTTGTTGCTGGTATAATGGCTGATGCATTAAAGCTCTTCTGACACATGTTGTCAGCACATCAGTTCAAATGCCAACAACTGAAACAATCAACTGCCCAGTCTGGACCCACTTAGCTGCTTATTACAGTGGAGGGAAACTGAGCATAACACAAAGGTTGTGTATTTACAATGAAGGAACAAGTTGCAGAAAAATGTCCTACAAGAAAGCTAAAGACTAGTCTGTGCACAACCTTCTGGTTTGAAGAGGATGACAATATGTCCACCTTCTGGCTCAAAGCCAAATGAGGGAAGGTTGGTCGGATATATGAGTTTATAATGGATAAGGATGTCTAAATTTAGTTGGAATCTACCACTGTAAACTACCACACAGTGCGCAAATAATATAGCTGGGAATTTAATTTTGTGGAAGTTGCTTGTCTGTGTTAAAGCATTGAAACATAAAACAAATGACATGTCTAAAGTCATTCCAGAATACTAACTACATTTAGTTTAGAGCGTTAGTCTGCTAACATTTCCTAGTTGGCACTAGTACATCTGAAGATGATAGTAGCTTCATTAGTTTAACATTGGTGCTTTATGTAAATGTTCTTAGTCTTACGACTGGCTTGGCCCTACGGTTGGCCAAAGAATCAGTCCACTGCTTTACATGAAATTACACAGATATTCAAGTTTCCTAGAGGATGAAATCTAATGATTTGGAAATTTCTTGACCTTTTATCTAGCACCAATAGGTCAGCATTTCTTAGTTATCCCGGGAAAAGCTTGATATCTATCAGAGAAAATATGTAAAATAACTCATGACATACCAGACAGTTTATCCTTCCTGACTTTGGTGATCAGGGTTCTTTGATCACCAAAGTCATGAAGGATAAAATGTCTGGCAATCCGAAAACCCTGATGACAGCTCGAATAAGGACAGCCGCCACCTTGCCCGGAATAGGGAGACCTGGGCACCCTCCTGGAGCCAGGCCTGGGGGGGAGCTCGCCGGGGAGCGTCTGGTGGCTGAGCCTTGGGGCCCTGTGGGGCTCGGTCAGGCACAGCCCGACAAAGTAACACAGGGCCACTGTCCAGAGGGCCCACCACCATCAGGGCAAAAGATTGGGGTTGGGTGCTATGCCCACCAGGTGGTAGGCAGGAGCTAGCGTCCTGGCGTACCGCCTCCTCGCAGCATAGACTAGCTCTGGGGACATGGAACATCACCTCACTGGCGGGGAAGGAGTCTGAGCTGGATGGATGGATGAACTTTGGTGATCTGGTGGCTTTTCCTTATGGGCCACCATGAGGTTGACATTTGTAGTGAAATGTCTGAACAATTGTTAAAGACCCCCTCCAGTTTTTATCTGCTGGAAGAAACATCAGAAGCAAAACAAGCAGTTGACAGCATGGCTGAGTACTGGTGCACTGATGGCCGTCTCAAAGAAGCACCTGAGGAACCAATTCTGAAAGGCTGTTCAAGATCCTTGTTAATTGTTGGTTTCTTGCTGAAGTCACAAAGTACATTTACTCAAGTACTGTATTAAAGTACAATACAAAGGTACTTGTACTTTACTGAAGTGTTTTCATTCTATGCTACT